AATAAGAATTAAAAGTGCTATGTTGAAAGATATGTGCATGAGATATACATGAGATATATACATAAGAATAAGAATTAAAAGTGCTGCGTAGAAAGATATATACATGAGTGCAGGTGGTGATCAGTGCAAACATGGAATGATGCAGTGACACAGCGTAGGGTCATGTGTTTGTGGCGGGGACAGTCATACGGTTATTGTTCATGTGTCCAACAGCAGAGGGGAAGAAACTGTTCTTATGGCGAGAGGTTCTGGTGCGAATGGACCGGAGCCTCCTGCCTGAGGGAGCACGTCAAACAGACTGTGTCCAGGGTGAGAAGGGTCAGCTGAGATCCGAGCTGCACGCCGCAATGTCCTGGAGGTGTACAGGTCCTGCAGAGATGGGAGTCTGCAGCCAATCACCTTCTCAGCAGAGCGCACAACACGCTGCAGTCTCTGTTTGTCCTTGATAGTGGCTCCAGCGTACCACACGGTGATGGAGGAGGTGAGGATGGACTCGATGATTGCAGTGTAGAATTGCATCATCGTCCGTGTTGGCAGGTTGAATTTCTTCAGCTGCCTCAGGAAGTACATCCTCTGCTGGGCTTTCTTGATGACGGAGGTGATGGTGGGCTCCCACTTCAGGTCCTGCACTCAGAAAAATAAAGGTGCCAACTGGAACCAAAAGTGGTTCTTTAGACTGATGCCATAGAAGAACCTTTTTTGGTGCCACAAAGAACCTTTCAAACAATGGTTCTTTGAAGAACCATTTCTTTCAGTGGTTCATTGAAGAACCTTTAAAGGTGCCCCAAAGAACCATCAAGAAATGGTTCTTTGGGGCACCTTTAATGGTTTTTCAAAGAACCTTTTAAAAATGGTTCTTTAAAGAACCATTTTTAAAAAGGTCCTTCAAATGGTTCTTTAAAAGAACCATTTTAAAGAACCTTTTTTCAGTGGTTCTTTAAAAAACCATTTTAAATCTTTCAAAATAAAATGCATCAAATTGAATTTGAGCAGGGTAAAATAAATACGAGCACAGCATAGACATATATTAATGGTTTATTGTCATTTTGTAGTATACCAAAAGACAAAAAGGCATTTTAACCCTCAGCACAACATCACTACTAATACATGTCACATATTAGTGTTTTAAACAGTAATAATTAAATATATTTGCTATACTATAAATAAATATATATAATACTATAGCTACAGATAACACAAAAAATAACACATGTATTGTTTAATTAATAAAACATCAGAAAGTGATAAAACACATTAGAAATAGCTTCATAACAGACCAATAAATCAACACATTTTCATCAGCAGATGTTTGCATGTTCAGTAAAAACATTTCAACAACAAGTTTATGATTAAAATGATCAATGAACTTCAGCCTTACGCTATGTAATGTACTTTTCATGTTGTACTCATGGCCCTTTGTTAGTCCAGTTTAGGACAATGTCTCTGACGTATGTTTCATATCAAACATATGTCATATCAAAACAAGCCCACACCTGCAGTTGTTTCAGTTTTTCACTGGTGTTTCCTGTCAGCTGGTCAACCTCACTCAGGCGGACATCCATATCAGCCAACCAAACGACAAGTTCCTCCCTTTGTGCTTCAAATCCCTCCCACTCTGAGACAAGGAGCTGAAAGAGAGAGAAAAGAGTCAATTATAAAGAAGAGAGAAAAGTGAAACCCTCCTCATAAGGTCTGACTCGCATACCTGCAGTTGACCTGTGATGGACTCCAGTTTGGCGTTCACGTCATCCCTCGTCGATGCCAACAGCCGAGTCTGCAGGGTGCCCTGGAAGAGCTGAGTTAATGTTCGACTCCTCCTGGTCAGGCTCTCCAGCTGGATGAGCCGAGGTCTCCCCTCTCGCCGCTGCCTCTGAACACAGAAACACAAATTGCATCTGAAGCAGGAGGTGCAGATTTTTTTTGCTATTCTTTTCTAAATCCAGGCTAGATCACGTGGAGGTATTTGGAAAACTGTTTTGGCCAGTGGACGACTGTTGTCTTGCAGAAAGTCAAATCAAATGTATGCGATACACAACCAATTCACAAGAACACATAAAAAAATAAGTCCAGTTCTTGCCTGATTTCAAGTGAAATCTGCATCAAAACAGGGTGACAGAAGTAAAACGAGTGCACAAAGCCTCACTTTGTACAAGCCTGCTATTACAGTTCTCCTCTATGCAGACGACTTTCCTGTTTTCAAGGCACAACTTGGATCTGCTGTACGAATCTTATGGATACACACTAAATGAAACAATAGTGTGCATGACTCCAGATTCTGATCCCTCATCCTAATATGGTCCCAACATAGCAACAGCAATAAAGCAAATGTTGAGGCTTCAAAATACAAAGTCCATAAACCAATGGCTGACATGGGTTTTATCATAAGGGTGATAAATATACAGATTTCAGTCTGTCTTAGAGATTTGATGTTCATTTACCTGCAGATGCACTATACGTGCCTGTTCCATGGTTTTCCACAACATTTTGCACATCACTATTTAATACAGGAAGTAGGTGAACTAAAACAAGTCATCTTTCTTTGTGAGAGGACCATACTAATGAAACAAACCTCAATGACATCATAGGGATCCCTAAAGATGCTCCTGCTGCTTTTCTTCCTCCTCATCCCAAGCTTCCTTCTCCTTGTCCTCGCCTTCCATCCAATTGTAACTCAACCTAATTGTGTTTCTCCCCTTCTCTTCCTCATTTTGTTGGAGCTGTGAACACAATTAATGTGAATCTGGATTAATTTGTGCAAACAAGAAAATCTACAGCTTTTTGGTCAGAGGTGCTCTTGTGATTTAAGCCGGGTAGAGTAGATTTCTGTGTTGATGCTACCTGCTTCAGCTCTGGCTGCTGAGTGATATTTACACCCTGGCTGGATTACAAACTTTAACCATGTGCTGAACTTTGGCCCAGCGCTGATACCTCTTGTTAGTATAACGACCTCTTCTTGGCTTGTATGTATGATTTATGATGGTGGATAAATGAAATATACAAAAAAATTAACTATATTACAAAAGAACATCTATCTTGGAAACATCAAATGACCGGAGCATAACTTGTCAACTAGTCCGAAACTAAGTTATGCAGGAACAGTCAAAGACACACCTTCTCATGTCACATTTCTATTCATTTCTATATAATTTGATTAGACAATAAAGAGTTACTGTATCTAATCTAATTATTCATTCAAAACTCTTATGCATAGCTGTATTTTATACAGCTCTTACAGAATTCAAAGTACAGGTTCATGTGAGTATTTAATGTACAGCTCAGATCTACAGAATTTCAGAGTTTCTAGAGCAGACACAGAGCTCACGCCACAACAGGCTTCAGGCGCCATTTTAGTGACTTTAACAATATATTAAATTTTAATTTCGGTCTAGCTGACATTAGGTTATGTACGCAGCACGCAATTGAACCACATATTTTAGAAGCCAAAGGTTCAAATTAGCTGGGAGCAGCTTCACTTAATTATAACAGTGGTTTGTTAGGAAAACAGTTGGATACTAAATTGCGCTGACCTCAACGGCTAACGTATCTAGCTAATCGCTACTGTTAGCACAACATTAACAGCAAGCTACAATGACGAGTAACAAAAACAAAACAGTAATAAGGTTTTAATGAAAATGTCTTACCTTTTCTAACAGTCCCAGAATCCACAGCTTCAAAGTCCAGCAGGTACTGAAGACTGTTATCCGTTTCGCTGTCACCGTCCGTGAGTTTTTTTCCCGAAAGGTCAAGGCCCGCTGCTCGCACACTCTGTCTGCGCATGCGCATCCCAACGACTGACCCCCTCCGTCCGCTCCCGGGAGGTTATAGTATGACGTGTTCTGACGTCACTCTCTCTCCCTGTCATTTATTTGGCTCGAAACACACATTAACAAATTGCTCAGTGATGAACAACTACTCAGATCATTTACCTAAGCAGTGCGCTTTGTCAAAACGAAGTGTGTGTTCATTACACTGACATTCTGTTCTGCAATTGTTATTTACTTGTATTTTATAATTTGACTTTACAATAATATTGTAACGTTTACAATAACTAGTATTATCATTATGCTATATTTTCAAAATTGTCGCATGCCGCTTTTCCCTGGGCTGGGGTGTAACAATATAATAATCTCAAAAGTAATGCCTTGGAGTAGAAAATAGTAATGCTTTATTAAAATTTAAAACTAAAGTACAGTATTTGAATGTGTGTATTGTGTCTACTGTTTGCAAATATTTCTAACTTTTATTTGAATATTCAGTTTCCTACCATCTTCTCTTAAAGGGTAATTGCCAGGTATCCCGCCCTCCCCCTTCGCGCACACATGCACACAAACAAAATACACAGTATAATTCACAGCCTCGTTATAGTGAATAAATATTTATGCCATTTACACCATCAAACTTAGATTGCTAAGGATGAAGAACCCTTTGCTCTTTAAAGAACCATTTGTAATAGCTGAAGAACCATCCACAAAATAAAAAGGTTCTTTGACGTATTATGGTTCTTTAAAGAACCATGAAGACATCTGAAGAACCATTTAAGAACCATAATTTTTCTGAGTGTGGGTGATGGTGGTACCCAGGAAGCGGAATGAGTCCACAGAGGTGATGGGGGTGTCAGTCAGGATGATGGGGGGGAGTGGGGCTGTGTGCTTCCTGAAGTCCACAATAATCTCCACTGTCTTCTGGGCATTTAGCACCAGGTTGTTGTGGCTGCACCAGGACACATGAGAACACAGTTACAATGGACTGACACAATTTAAATGCACTAGAATCCACTCAAATATATTATAAACGTCATCAAAATCTACCCAGAAGTGTGGAGTAAAATATAAAATATTCGTGTAAAATGAAAGTAGTTACTGCCTGAAAAGATATCGCGAAGGAAACGAGTGCGACGTGATACACAGAACACCACAAGCCATTATTTCTGTTTTTTTTTTTTTTCGTCTACGCGTTGCGGGCGAGGTAGTAAAATCAGTTACTAGGCGCAGTAGGAAATAAACGGAGATGCATCTGTCGTCTCTCGAACAACAGCAGGAGGAACGCCCTGACTACACCGCTTCCTCAAGTTAATTAACGGTAAATATAATATTTCAATGGAGTATTAAAACTAATACAAACGTTCTTATAATGCGTGTCCGATTTCTGTTAGAGCTAAGTTTCTACTCATTGCCTTAATTCGATGCTTTAAACTGGATCTATTTCCGAGTCGATACCACTTAAATCTCTATTCGACTCTTCTTTACTGTTTAACACTTTATTTTTCACTGCACAGTCTTTGCCCTTACTCCCAGCAAATGGGCGATAAACCAATCGGTGCCTATGCCATTCCCAATATGCGCTGGCTGACGTCGGGGCAGCATGAGTACGAGCATTTTTTTTTTTTTTTTGTCGATGCCCGTGATGCCGCCCCCACCACGATGCCGCCCCGGGCAACCGCAGGTGTCGCTCGTATCTAAAACCGCTACTGGTCCTGAGGGTCGCTGTTGATCATCTTAGTCATAATGTGGGGAAAAGAAGAAAAGGCATTGCTCTTGTGGCATCATAACCTGGGCCTGGGGATAAGGATGCAACTGTTTTTGGTTCTTTGTCAGACTGGTTTGAATGTTTTGCCCTCAGGATTAATCATTTTTTGTCTGAGGATAAACTGTAAGGACAAAACTCAGTGACCATTGCTGTTTCGCTAGCTGGGCCCACGTCCTCATTTTATATTTGACAGTGTTTTTATCGATAAAGGCAAAAGGCTTAAACATGAATTGAGCTGCGGTTTGGGGAAGGCCTCAGAGTGGACTGGTGGCAACTCTTGGGCCATGTACTAATAAGAAGTGAAAGAATTAAACAAGGGAAGGGAGTGTGGTCCACAAAAAGTTCAGTTATGTTTATTTGAACTGAGTTAACTATGGAGTTGAGTTTCTTATTTCTTTTTGTCAATATTGTTTGGTCACAAAAATGGTAAATAAATCGCTCACTACACTGGACAGGATCTGTCTCCTGCCCTTCTTTAGCCACTTAGGTCAAGTTCTACCACAGGGTCCCTTGATTTTGTAAAGGAGCGTCTAGTATGGGTTGTCTACAGAAAACTGAAGGGGGATTCAAAATGGAAGTTAAAGTGAATCTTATTGATATTTGGTGCTGCAAAAGAACTCAATAAGTCAAACAATATCAGGTCATATTCCATTTTCTTAAACTAACTTGTTTAATAGGATTTACGTTTTTTCTTTCTTTCTTCAAGGACACTCTTTAGCTCTATAATGTTGTGGTTTACATGTTTTGTAAAAAAGTTAACTTTTGTGTAAAAATCTGCCAAATCAATTATATGGTGAACTTGCAAATAAAGAAATGGGTATCTTGATGCATGCTCAATCATCCAGGTAAGTATATCCCAAAAGGTTGATTCTGTTGATCTGGACGTAGTGCTTTCAGTGGGAGAATCGTCACTCATCCAAGTGACTTCTTTAGTCTCAGCTGACTGCAGGTTTCCCCAACCTTATAAACAGTACATTTGCACAATGACTGAAACTAGTCCACTGAATGAACAATAAGCTGTGAGGTCAGTTCCTTGATCATTAATATGCAAATTGTCATGACCATTGATCAACTAGCACTAATCAAAGCCCATTGATTAATGACCATTCAGTGGGCTGTGCTGGCCAAATGAGTGCCAGTGATACATTGGGCAATTTTTTTTACCATCTGGTTTAGTGTTATTTAACCATCTGTGGTAAAATTGTTGTACTACACTGATATGCCGTTGGTGAGAATGCTCTCAATAGTACAGTGGTTGACATTGACTAGTATCCTGGGACACAGGTGAGCTTTCTTAAGGCCACTGAGGTGTTTGTTATCACTTCCTGTTCCTGCTCAAACACAGTGGTGTTTCTGAGTAGCTTATTTGCTTAGCAAATTAAAAACTTTTAAATACATTCTTTTTTCATAGTACAATCTTCTCGTGCTTCATCCGAAGCACACTTTCTGTTATGCTGCAATAGGCTTCCGGGGATTCCCATGATGCATTGAATTTTTCCTTTCCAGTCACCTTTCTCACTCACTATGTGTTAACAGACCTCTCTGCATTGAATCATATCTGTTATTAATCTCTGTCTCTCTTCCACAGCATGTCTTTATCCTGTTTTCCTTCTCTCACCCCAACCCGTCGCAGCAGATGGCCCCGCCCCTCCCTGAGCCTGGTTCTGCCAGAGGTTTCTTCCTGTTAAAAGGGAGTTTTTCCTTCCCACTGTCGCCAAAGTGCTTGCTCATAGGGGGTCATATGATTGTTGGGCTTTTCTCTGCATCTACTGTACAATATAAAGCGCCTTGAGGCGACTTTTGTTGTGATTTGGCGCTATATAAATAAAATTGAATTGAATTGAATTAACGGGGGTGATGCGATGTCACTGGTATGCATGAATTAATTAAACAGTCCAATAACTTCAGCAGTTCTTATCTTGTCCTTTTGGTCTTTATTCCAACATCATTTTAACATAACAGCGCAGTGGTCATAAACTGTGTGCCTTCTTACGATTAACAACACACCTGATGCTGATTATGTGCGTCTACCTTAAATACCTTTACATGAACCAACCATACGAAAACAAAAAAAGGTGACCTTTAGCGGCAACATAAGGTATTAACCCAAAAATGGCTCCTACAACATCAAAGTGGCTACTTAAATGAAATATAAAGTTTGAAAACAGGTTTGTTGATGTTCCACAAACATTGCAGAAAGCAAATTTCTAAGGAATTTTTACATTTCTCTTTGTAATTGTGATTCTACACCTTCTCCTCAGGTTGGAAATTAGCTTAATCTGCACTGGCTGGATGGATGCAGCAACATCTCTCAAAAAGAAGCTGGCTCTCCCCTTGATTGTTGCATTAATCTTCATTCTTCTATTCAATGTGAATTTGCCAAACAACAACAACAAATCCATCCCAAAACCATCTGGGCCTGCGGGTGTTTGCTCCTTGGGAATATCTGAGCAGACCATCACCCCGCTCAAAAATACCAAGCACTTACTGGTGTCAGCATACGTGGACCAGAGAGTGAAGGATTTGGATATACGCATCATTGGCATATTTAAGAGAGACTCCATACAGCCCCTTCACTGCGTTTTTTGCTGCACAAATGTTTTAAGTAAAACCACTCCAGCAACAATTTTACAACATTCTGATCACTTTGGTTTTCCCTTCACCACTACGGACGTCATGTGTCAGATTCCTCAGAACTGCAAAGCTACACGTGTCACTCTCTTGACTACACCAGACAAAGAAAGTGCATCTGACTCTACCTGGCTTCCTATAAGAAACCAAAAGAGCGACAGGCAAAAGGAAGAAAACATGAAGTTTGACTTCACAGTCTGCATCTCTAATCTGTTTGGCGACTACAACAATGTGCTTCAGTTTGCAGAGACTCTGGAAATGTACAGGTGAGTACAGTAACAGCACTACAAGCTACAGAGTGAAACCTATGCAGCAAAACCTCTGTGTAACGGTTGCTGTTAATTGTAAAGCTCCTGGATTTCTTCAGTGATGTTTCTGCTTCTGTATTCAAGAGCGGAGGAAAAGGTTGGCTTGACTTCAGAGTCTTTGACATTCTCACCAAAGTGAATATTTCCAGTATTAGAAGTTTTGAAATGTAGCAGGTGCTGATAGATATTTAAATGTGCATCTGCACATGTAAGTGTGGAGCATAGACTGTATAAAAATGATGGAGTTTTCCCCACCCATGTTTTTTCTTTTTCTTTTTGTGCTGCCAGCATTAATCTCGTTAAAATGACGTTAACGCCATACCCACATTAATGGGGCAAATCTCCATTAGCCAGTTAACGCGGCTCACCTCGTGCGTGGGGCTGCATGGTGTCAACGTGTTAGCGTGGTTAGCTTGTTAACACGTTAGCGATGTCCAGGCTCTCCTGACTAATGGAGATTTGCCCCATTAATGTGGGTATGGCGTTAACGTCATTTTAACGAGATTAACGCTGACAGCACAACTTTCTTTATTTTTGTTTTGTTTTTTGTTTGTCTTTTTTATCCAAATGTGGCCACATTTGACTGAGGCCACACAAAACATCCTAACCCCTAAATCTACCAGTAGCTAAACCATCCATAAAGGAGGGCTTAGATACTGTATCATGTATCAGGATATAGACTTCCTTATAATGTTGTGTAAATGTTTTCCTTTAGAAGCTGGCCCCTAAACCTAACTGGCTTTTCTGTGGCTTTAAAGTCAAATGTCGTCTCAAACAAAAAATCTCTGCATTTCCAGTTATTTGTTATATGTATACTTCTTAACTCCCCTGTGTGATATGAATGCATTTTTGTAAGCTAAATGCAATAAATAACAAAGGCATGAGCAAACTAATGAAATATATAAATGTAAGCCTTTAAACCTGTTACTTTGCCCCAGGTTGCTGGGTGTGAACAGAGTGGTGATCTATAACACCAGCTGTGGTCCAGAGCTCGACCGCCTGTTGCAGAATTATAGCCAGGAGGGCTTTGTGGAAATGGTTCCTTGGCCCATTGACAAGCATCTGAATCCATCTCGTGGCTGGCTTCACTCAGAGCACGGAGGAGACGTGCACTACTTTGGCCAGCTGACCACACTTAATGAGTGCATTTACAGATCAATGGAGCGTTCCCGCTACGTCCTGTTAAATGACATTGATGAGATTATAATGCCATACCAGCACAAAGATCTGATGTCTTTGATGAACACGCTCCAAAATCAGAATCCAAATGTAACATTTTTTTCTAAGCATTTCTAAATTTATTTTCAAATTTCCTTCCTGCACCTGTCAAACCTAAACTGTTCTTCTACAGACAGGAGTATTTCTCATTGAGAACCACACCTATCCCAAGAAGACTTTTAATCAAAATAAATGGGGACCCCTGCCTCAATGGAATGGGGTGCCAGGCTTTGATATTATGGTGCATATCTACAGAGAGGAGCCTAACAGAAATATTTACCATCCACACAAGTTAATAGTTCAGCCAAGGTGGGTTATAATGGGACAAATGGTTGAGTGTTCGGCACTAGCATTCATTTAACCCTGAGGCATTGTGTGATTGTCCATGTATTTATGCACCTACAGAGCAGTGCAGCAGACCTCAGTGCATGATGTGCTTATGATGTCTGCAACAAAGTTCAAGGTTCCACCAGACGTCTGTCGGATCATTCACTCGCCAATCAGGACTCCGACCGATCCACCACTTGATCGGCTTCATGTGGACACCCGACTGTGGGACTTTAAAGACAAACTGCTCCCCAATGTGATCAAGGTGCTGCGGAGAGCAGAACTGCTGAGATCAGAGACGCAAAACTGATAGATGATGGACAGAAACACAAATACTGAAGTTTTAGGAGAAAAAAGCTGGTCAACAAAACACAGGCTGACCTACAGGGGTGGCATGTGCCAGCCTAAAATAATGTCTTTCCATCCCAAGTCCACTCTATTTTTGCTTATCACAGTGCTGCATATTAAAATTAGCCAGCATTAACACTCTGAGTCTGGCTACAAGTAACATTAAATATCAATATAATTATAAAGCAAACGGTTTTATTTCTTGTTGTTAGTAGCAATCAATGCTTATGATTGTGCCAGAGCACACAGTCATAAGCATTTCAACACATTGGCTATTTTCCGATTTCAACACAGGTGGTTGATTGCTCCACTCTAGAACTGGAATGAAGGCGAGTGTTATTAACCCTCTGGGTTGACAGACAGCCACACCTTCAAATCACATGACCAATTTAAGCTGACATAGCTACAAGCTGCAGTCACGCATCTTCTAGCATCAGGGTCTCTATTTCAGCTTGTGTTGAAAGTCCAGACTTTAAACTATATGCCAGTTTTTACATTTTATTGATAAGCCACTAACACCGGAGTTATGATAAGTGAAAAGAAACGGTAACAACGGCATTTGGACAGCGCAAATAAGGGAAAAAAAATGCCACCCTTTCCTATTGGTGGAATAGTGTACCATGTCCACCGATAAAAATGATATGACAACACGTGGGATTTGGTGATTTAGGAACAGGGAAAATTTGGGGAAGTGGCGGTGGCTAAAGAGAGAGCGATATCGACTAGTTTTAGTTTTTAGTTTTAGTTTTTAGTATTCGTGGTGGTTGCAATTTTAGGTAAATGGTTGTATTAACTTAATTGTTTCCAAAGTTTGTACACAGGTTTTTAAAATTTACAATTTATATTTGCATTTCAGGTTATGAAAATAATTCACTAAACGTGTTTGTGGTTTTTACAGTAAACTTTTTCCGTACTCTGTTTTTATCAGGGTTTTGTGTGTGTGTGTGATTTCAGATTTCAGATATTTTATAGATATATGTTTTATATCTATTTTAACCACATATAATGCATATTACAGGATGTAAGAACTGGATATGTGTAGGGTGGCCACCCTAAGAAAATTTCTCTTGTCCACCCCACAACAAAATAGTCATTATGATGTGAGAGCAGTGAGAAACATGAAACATGAGACAGGCCAGGTGCACCACCTTTGAACATGTACACTTTCAATAATTTACATAAGTTGTGATAGAAGAGGCCCTGGGGTGCCATAAGAAGCTAACTTCCTGAAAGACAGGTTACAAACATGCTTGGATTGTTTAATTAAGAACTTCTGTTGTCAAACTCATGGTAAACTTCCTCGTTATACTAGTCGCAGATTGGTTTCTTACGACATTCTTTTCATTCTTATATCACTGTTCTTTGCTTCATGCACTGTACTGAATTATCAGGATAAATAAGATTTTGTCGCCACAATGCAAAAAGTTGAATAACATTTTGTAATCATTTCCTTGTTAGTCGGCAGAGAGTGATAGTGGGAAACTCAAAAATAGAGCAAACGCATCTAGTGAATTTTGTGGCCACAGTAGTGTGTGTGAGATTGCTGAGAGATAGAGATGCCTTCCAGAGAAAAGCAAGCTTGCTTGTCAAGCATCAGAAACTACAAAGACATGATGAAAATAAATGCATGCAGAGGATAAGCACACACCAGGGAGCACAAGAAAAAAAATGGGAACAAGAACATCACGACAGGCACAAGCTTGACTAATGCAGTAAAGTAATGCATGCGATAAAAAGGACGTTGAATGCCACTTCCTGACTGGTTTCACAGCCGCAGACTTTCAAATTGCATTCTTCTTGTACAAACTGGGTTAAATGCTAACATCATGAAAAAGAGTTATCCCTTATGATGAAAGAACAGCCAATGATGGGGGGAATTGCTGTTTTTTTGATTGGTTGTCACAGATTTTGAGATATGGATACAAAACTTAGATAAAAGAAACCACTTGATGCAAAAGCAAATTATGAACCCAACACTGACATGTTACCTCTTACACTCATGTGACAACTGTAGCAGTTTACAAAAAGAGATGACTGGTGCTTTTCAGTGTAGCTGGAAGAAGTACAAAAAAACGAAGTCCAGGAAATCTTGCTAAATATTCTGAGTAAGTTGTTACGGTTCGGCGTTGGCAGTGTATTGTTTTAGGCGTTTTGTTTTGGCGTGACTGTTATGTGTTTCCTGTTTTACTTTGAAAGTCTGTGTTATCTTAGTGTTCAGTTTACGTTTCCTTGTCTCGTCAGGTCTAATTTGTCCCAGCTGTGTTTCCCACGTGGTCCATTCCCTAATTGCTCCTTCTATGTATTTAAGCCCTGTGTTTCTGTATGTCATGGTTGCGATCTCCCCCCCCCCCCGTTGTAAATAGTTTGGCGCCTTGTGTTTGGTGATGTAAATAAATGTCGTATCTTGCTTTAAATCTCGTCTTGGGATTATTTTTGTGGAAGCCCGTATTAGTTTTTTCTCGTGTGTTTTTGCCTTATTTTTAATTTTCCTGCGTTGCACCCCGGTTGCCTAGGCCGGGGTGTAACATATGGGGGCTCGTCCAATCGCTGAGGGGTCCGAGGACCGCTTCAGCCGTCCGCCGTCGCTGGAGGATCCGAGGGACCGCCCCAGCCTTCGTCGTCTGCTGGAGGGTCCGAGGGACTGCTCCAGCCTCCATCCGCCTTCGCTGGAGGGTCCGGGGAACCGCTCCAGCCTTCTGCAGCTGGTGGGCTGCGTGTCCGTGTTTGCAGCTGGTGGGCTGCGTGTCCGTGTTTGCGGCAGAAAACACCTGAGACACCGTGGGCTCTCTCCGGTTTCTAGAGCTTCCTGCCACAGTCCAAAGACATTAGCCTACCACAGCGATGCAGGCCTCGCCCTACGACAGCGGGTATAGGCTCCAGCACACCTGCAACCCTGATAAGGATAAGCGGAAGAAAATGGATGGATGGTACTGTTTACATTTCCTCTGCTATGTGTTAGTCACTTTGATAACAAATTAACCCAAGGGGGGGTTTAGCCTTATGAAGGAGTATCAAAGCAACATTAAGAAAAAAAATGATCGACGATCTAGAGATTAAAGTCGTAATTCTATTCTGAGAAAAACGGTCGAAATGAGCATTCTGAGTTTGTGGAATCGTACCTCAGAGTCAGTTTTAGCAAAAAGTACAGGAAAGTCTTTCTCTTTCAGCCCATAAACACAGTGTGGTAATGGTGCCGAACGCTCTATCTGGCCAGAGAAAAACACACAAATGTGGAAGAGTGGATTTGCACAAAAGGAAATAGCCTGTAACTGACAGATTTCGACTTTATTCTCAAAATGATCAGCAATATGTTTTCTTAATGTGCCCCTAATACTACGTCGCAGTTAGCTGTGTGTAGTTGGCATTGCGCGATAAAGCTTAGACCACGATCAGAAGCGAGTGCGTCTATAGTGCACAACGCAAAACAAACAAACAAATAAAACAAAACAAAACAAAAAAAGCCCAGTTCTCCAAAACGTTTTGTGCGATTTTACGAATTCGTTTTTTCCTATTGACTCGTTTCTTCCCCCCGGATAATTCTGACGTATGACAATGACTTGGTCACGCCCGGATAGAGCAGGAGAGAAGAAGACTCCGAGTGCACTTGCAGACCTACGAATTCAAAGTTTAACTCTTTCTCGACTGGTGGGCACAACCGGGGGAACATACTGACCACAGTTCAGCCTCGAGTGAGTTACCTGCTGAATGGTGAATAGTGGCTTTAAGTTGATGTTTAAGTTAATACAAATATTCTAATTCGACCACTCCGAGTATTTATCTTCTACTCCGATTTCGATGTAACTTAAATAGCGTTTTCTTGTGCTTAAGGAATAAAGTATGTCAGTAAGAATTAAGCCATTTTTATGCTCAATGCCTGCCCCTGTCAGGTGGTGGTGCATGCTAAAAATGAGGGTGCAATTTGTGGTGTGTGCTGTCATTTTGAAAGCGATTTTTGCATACTAGAAAGCATGTTTAAAGTAAAGTAAAATTTTATTTATATATCACCTTTCAAGATAAAATCACAAAGTGCTTTACAAAGGCAGAAAACGGACATTAAAATCTAAAACAAAATCAACCAAAATCAAGTTTAAACAGATACATTTTTAACTGCTTTTTAAAAGACATGACTGAGTCCACAGATCTCAAACTCAAAGGGAGCGAATTCCATAGTCTGGGAGCCACTGATACAAACGCTCTGTCACCTTTTGTTTTTAACCTTGTATGCTGGACAGCCAGCAACCCCTGGTCACAGGACCTCAGGGACCTGCTGGGGTGATAAGGAAGAAGAAGATCACATATGTAAGTTGGAGCTACACCGTGCAGGGCCCTATAAGTCATGGTTATGATCTTAAAATGGACACTGAACTTGACAGGGAGCCAATGCAGATGAATCAGCAGGGCAGTGGCATGGGAGTATTTGTGGTGCTTTATCAGAAGCCTAGCAGCAGCATTTTGAACACCCTGCAGTCGTTCCAGGGAGGCATTACTTAAGCAATTAACAAGGAATTACAATAGTCTAAGCGAGAGGAAACAAAAACATGAATAATCATTTCCAATTCGGAACGTGACACAAAGGGACTCAGCTTAGCGATATTTCTTAAATGGCAAAAACAAGAGCGAACCAAGGATTTAACGTGTGTGTCCAGCGTCAGAGCTGGATCAAATGTAACACCAAGGTTCCTAATGGAGGATTTAATATAAGAAGCAAGAGGGCCTAGATTTTTAACCATGAGGGGAACAAATTTCTCAGTAGCAAAGACAATGACTTCCGTTTTATCAGCATTTAGTTGAAGGTAATTACCAGCCATCCAATCTCTAACGGAAAGCAGGACTGCAAGATTTGGAGCTTAGAAACATCAGGTGGCTTAAAAGAGATATATAGCTGAATATCATCTGCATAACAATGATATGAAATATCAGAGAAAGAGCTAAGAAGTTGCAGAAGAGGGAGTAAATACAACAAAAACAATAACGGTCCCAAGACAGAGCCCTGAGGCACCCCATAGGCAAGAGAGCTGATGGAGGATCTGAACTTAGAGGTAGCCACAGAGAAAGATCGATTTATCCAGGGCGAGGGTTTTGTAACAGGGGCTAGTCTAGTTTTAAAAGGGCAAATATTATCGATAATAGAAAGACAATAATTATTAAAAAGATTTGTTAATAAATCAACATCATTTGAAGCAGGTAGAACCTAATTAAAAACGTCAGAAAAAGTAGCAGCAGTAGAAGAATCTAAGCTAAAAGCACGACTCTCAGGAGGAGGAGGCAAATAAAAAGACAAATTAAATATAATACAATGATGGTCCGAAATAAAAATATCCTCAGAACTAATACAGTCAATGGTTAAGCCAATAGTAAAAACAAGGTCCAGGGTGTGCGCTTTGGTGTGGATGGGGCCAGATACATGCTGTGTGAAGTGAAAAGAGTCCATGATGCTAAGAAAACCTCTGGCAAAGAGGTCAGTCATCATCAATGTGCATATTAAAATCGCCAATTATTAGCAATCTGGACAACTTCAAGATGGAAGATAAAAAGTTACTGAATTCCTTTAAAAATTGACCATTAGGTCCATGTGGATGATAGACTACACCACAGTAACACGGATCTTTATTTCCAATTTTAACCAGCTGTAGTTCAAACGTTGACATTTTTTCAACCATCAATGAGCGACAGTGAAACCAGTTTCGATACACCACAGCCAGTCCTCCGCCACGACCAGAGGTCCGCGGCCGACTGACAAAGGAGTAGGGGAGACCAGGGACAGTTGTAACGTGGGTCAGTTGTAACACTTCCAATTTCTCCAATCAGGGCTAAGTTTCAAATGATGTGATTCATCCTGTGCATGCCCAATTCAGTTCTGCTATCACATGTAAAAAATCAGCACATTTTGTCAAACAGACAATTTACACGAAAAAAAAAAGTAATTTGTATGCCAAAAAGTAAGCTTTTCTACTTCAATTTCTAATAGCATTATCTGCTTTGCAGTTAAACTCATCAAACTTAAATTATGTTATTTGTATGCCTATGGGGATATATTCTGTGTAGGTCTTTAGTGCTAATGTTTTAGCCGTTGGCTGTAATGTTAGCTAGTTCGTGGCTATAGGAGTCTGGGTCAGTTGTAACAGCAACAGTCTGGGTTAGTTGTAACAATAATGCAGATGTTACAACTTACCACACTATTACTTTAACTTATATTAAACAACTTGGGGCAACAACATCAGCAGAGAGAGGTTCACTGGTCGCTTTTGTATATGAGGTTAATGACATTGGCAACACAATTCCTCCACTGTTTGTGTTCCCACACATGCATTATGCAGACCACTGTGTCAGAGATGGACCAGTAGGAAGTATTGGTAGTGGAAATCAGGATGGGTGCAAGAAACAGATTTCCTCATCTTTCTGAAGCACTTTGCAAACCACACCAAGGTAAGCCATGAAAAAAAGTAATGGAATTGCAATGCTGGTGCACAACTAAATTTTTTCAGCTTCATTGTTATGTTCAAAAGTTGGTGCAAGAGTTGTAGGTAGGTTATAATGCCCACTGAGCCAATGAGGCCAAACTCAAGGAAGACCAACCAAATTAATGAAATATTCAGTTGCAGAAAATTCCATAATTTGTCTTTTTTGGGGGGTTGGAATATGTTCAAAAGCTAAATTTCTGCATTCTGTTACACACACACGTAGCTAAATAAATGGCTCTAAGTACATTCATGTGTTGAATAAAAAAGATTACATGTTAATGTTTTGTCAGTACCCTTATTTCATTGTGTTCCATTTCACCCCAGACTATGGGGTTAATTGTAACATTTCACTCTTTGTGTTTGAGACCATACCATCCAATGGGTAATTGTGCTGCAGAGACAATAGCTGCACTATTTAATAGCAGAGACGTAAATACTTTGAACTGATAAGAAAATGAGCTGTAGGTAGCGCAAAATCCTGATATGAGGAAAGGAACAGAAAGGACCTACAGCCCACCAAAAAAAAAAAAAAAAAAAATGCGGAAGGGGGAGTGACGGTTGTATAGAAGCACAGGGCTGACTCTGGGCGCAGGTCCAAGAATTTGGAAATGGGGAAAATCACACTGCCAAAGAGGAAATACAAGGAGAACAAACAAGGTAAGGAATGGTTTTGAGAACAGGCAACGACGAAAGTCGAGTAAAAAAAAAAAAAAACATGCGGATAGTATTTGAGGAGCAAGATTTAGGAAGCTCATAAACATTT